CTTCTCCCGCAATTACTGAAAGTCCAATACCAGCCATGGAAAGAAAATCTGACATAGCCCCATAGCACAAACTTGTTTGGGAATCTACAAGCACCCATTCCGGCCTCGGTCGGTGGATGAGCCATCCATTGCAGAAGGCTGCCACCAATTTGTCACCTCCATCAGTGCCAGAATCAGAGAGTGAACCAACATGGAGAACTTGAAGTGATACAAACTGCATACACAGATCTGCCATCACCAAATAACGAACTTTGCACTGCTGCTTCGGAAAGGGCACTTCAAACACATCCATACCTACAAATTGCCAAGGTTGAGGTTGCACTCCAATGCTCTTGTGGGGGATCAACTGATTTCCCCTCTGGTTCTCAACACATGCTTGGCACTTGAGATTTGCTGCTTCTTCTACCATCCACCTTGGTAAGCCTCTGTCCCGAATCAGCCTCGCCAAATTTCGATTGCTGGGATGACCAGCCGATCGATGCAGTCGGTGAAGCATGGCACGGCACCGCTCTCGTTGGGTGTCATCAACAAATTCATGCTGATCTTGGTCTGGGTCTGCATCATCTGGATCTTGTGTTCGTGGTTTGCGTTTTGATGCTGCATATGCGGTCTCATCTAGTTCTGGTAAATCTTCTTGAAGCTCTTGCAGTGTGAATGGATTTGATGCTACTGGATCTTCATATGAATGCGCTGCTGTGTGGAGTTGATTGAGGACAAACATGTCATTGTCCTGGAACTTTTCTTTCTTCCAAACTTGTACTATTCGACGTGCCATTGATGTGGGGTAAAATGCGGTAGCATTGACATGTTTTGATCCCATTCCCAACATTCCGCCAGGACGGTGCTCATGTGATCCGTCACACTTGGTGGTGGCATGCTTGAAAAAGAACTCATCAGTGGTCAAAATCACCCAGGGCTTGTTCAAGAGTTCTCCCGATGGAGCACGCACCCCAAACATGCAACCATGAATGTGCGTGCGGAAAAGTTGGATGCCAAAGGTTGAGTGAAGCCATCGCTCAAAACGCTGAAACTCTTGAATGCGCCAGCCGTCCACTGCATCCCGCGGCCACTCAAAGTAGACATGCACATTTTTTGGATCACGTGAAATCGCTGCCCTGAAAATGCCGAGAATGTGTCGCACCTGACGGCGACTTCGCAGTCTCATACGTCTCAAATTTCGACACTGCTCAAAAGTTCTCTGGTCGAGATTTTGTGTGTTTGTCCAGGGATTGCATTTTGGTGAAGCCCAAAGTTTGGTGGGCCTTTCAGTTTTTATCTTCAGCTTTGCTTGAGCAACACTATTGGGATCATCAAAATCAAACCCATTTTCTAAAGTTAACCTGTGAGCCTGCATACCTTGCCGCTCGGCTTCTGAGGTCAGTGTCGACTTGGGACCACAACATAACTCCCACACTACATCCTTCACAGCTGTAGCTCTCAGCTGCCGAAGTTCCGCAGCAACACCAAACTGGTTGTGTGATTGAATCACTTCTTGGACCATCTTGCGAGTCTCTGACTGGAGGTCGGACTCTTCCTCGGCAAACTCGATCACTTCTTGCTCTGGGGCTGCACAGATTGGAAACCCTCTGTGTCGGAGTCGGTCATCACATGGACCTCTGCCGCTGTTGGCTGTGGTGTCTCCGGCGGCGAGGGATAGCCCTTTGCTTTGGCTTTTGTCTGGTTCTTTGGAGGTCGGCCTTTCATCACCTTCTCGGCCGTCACCAACTTGATCGCATATTTCACCAGCTTGTGATCCACCTCTTGAGGTTGGTAACCGTCGCTGCGAAGATTGGCCAATGCCTCGGTGACCGTTGCAGGAAGATCTTGATGCACTGAGGTGGCCGGACTGCCCACAGCTGGAGTATACATCATTCGAATTCCACACTTCCGGCAATCGCTCCACATTCCGAAGCGGTTGCTCCCCCGAGTCTCGTGATGTTCTCCGAAACATGGCCATTGAGTCTTCTCGGCCCGGGGGTCCTGCAGATGCATCCCCGATCGACGAGACTCGTCGAAGGTTGTCGTCTTCTCCTTCTTGCCTGACGTCTTCTCCGAAGTGGATGACGTGCCCTTGGTCTTCTGCTTTTCTTCTTCCAGGGCTTCTTGCACCGCTTCCTTGATCATGGCCTTGACATCCTTTGGCTCGGTCGACATGTCGTGGCACTGGAGTAGGTGACTGAGAAGTCTCCGGAAACGCGGAAGTGCTTGGATCACTGCTACGGTGACCGAGCAGAAATGAAAAATCACAAGGAGAAAGATTTATATGCTCATGAGCCCTTGCATCCAAGTACAGAGAATCATGCTGATTGGAAAAGGAAGGAAAATCATCGCGCATGGTCAAAAGCTCCAACATTCCCTAAAACTGCTCGCCAGTACCTTTCCCTTGAGGATAGGTTGTGGACTGGCGATCTGAAAAATTCACTTTATCTTCAGTGGGAAGTTTGCTTTGGCTTCCTCCAGGGAGATCTCTAATCATATTCAACACAAGGTGACGTTTATGTGTGGTGCGAAGCTTCACCTGTGAACCTGCAATGATTGCACGACCATTCGACAAGTTCAAGACACACTGTAATGCTGATAGCTCACGCATACCTAGCAACACTGGAACTCCTGGAGATGGTAAAGCATATATATCCAGAGAGAAGGACGAAAACATCAGGCGAACTCGAAAAAGTGCTCGGCCCCAATCCCCGGAACCGTACCTAAAATACGGGCGATCACCACTGAAGATCTGCACGTTCAAGTCTGATCTTGCTTTTGCAAGACTTGAAACTAAGTCATTGACCGCCTTGCGGCCACCAGCTGAAACGGTAGCTCCTGTGTCAATTACTGACTCTTCAGGCATGGTCTCAGCTTGCATCAAGTGACTTGATGACGAATTCATGTTCATGGCCATCTCCAAAGTTGAAGACGGGGTCTCATCAAAAGCATGCACATCCAAGGGGCAGAGAGTATACATCTTCTCAGGGACAGATGGCATGTAGTAGGCTGATCCCTTCCGTGAGAAGTTACTTGACGAAGATGGGAAGCCCTTGCCAGTCTTGCCAGTAATCTTTCCAAACCCTTTGCCCTTGAATCCTTTCTGTGGCCATAGAGCTCGGGGAGGGCAAACTGCATCTCGCGTTTCCCTTTTGGGAAGCCCTTGGAACGCATCACTGTACTGGTGTCTCGTGCACCTTTTGATGCGTGATTCCAGCCACGATCTTTCCGAGAGGCCGCCACAGCCTGTCGAGCTTGCTCAAGGTTCCGTTGAGTCTCGGCCATCATGGCCTGAAGTTCGCGCTCCTCTTCCTGCAGCTGGAGGAACAATTTCTGAGATTCTGGGTCTGCTTCAGGAGACTCATCTGCTGCAACCGCGTTGACTTCATGTCCATAGGGAGGAGGTTGTTCTTGCCAATATGAATCTTCATGCCACTCTTGCCAGGACCAGTCATCATCATGGTATGGATCTTGAAACCATGCGCCATAGTCTTCGGGATATTCACCCGACCAGGTTTCTTCGCCACCATCAGCGGTTTCTCCAAACCAGGACTGATCTTCAGAGTGTTCTTCTGACAAAAACACCCGACCACCCTTCCAGGATCCTTTCTGGGGCTGCTGAAGCCTTCCTCGATCTTCGTGAAGAGCTAACAAAGACGCTTTGATTCTATCATAGCCAAGCTCATTTTGTGCTGATGCTTTGACCAATGCTCTATCCATATCTGATGAACTAGACATTTCAAGGACCAACCAGCCTCGGATTATATCTAAAGCGGCTAGGGGGATAAGACCCTTTTCCATTAATCTCTCAATCAAATCCTTGGGTTTCTTCCGGGTCCTCGAAGGAGCAGGCGCAGCACCAACAGGAGTTGCCGTTCTCGATGACCCCACCTCCGCATCATCATCAGCCTCAGCAGCCGCTGAAGTCGGAGGAGTCGGTCGACGAACTGAAGCTGCGTCTTCCTCTTCCAAATCATCAGGATGGAACACAGATCTATTGGGATCCATGCCACAAAACACACGAAGATCTTCCAGAGTAGTGTCAAACTTGCTGAAATCCAACTCCTTTTCTCTAAGAAGACGCTGCAATGATCTCCACATCTCATCATACACCGTGTCTTCACGAATCAAGAACTGGGGAATGCTTTCACCACCTTTCCGTGACAACTTTCTATAGTATGCAGCCAGTTTCGCCCCTGCGTCTGGAATGGGCTGCCGGTTCATAGGACTACTTTCCAGGAATCGCAAAAACTGCTGCACAGAATTTTCATCACGGAATTCATCAGGGTCCAGCTTGTACATAAGAGTCTTGAGAGCAGGATAATCGGATTCCAGCAGTCGCCTGACAAGGCGGGCAGCTGCATATGGACGTTCTGAAGTCTTTGTGCCAGCCAGGAACCATTTCACCTCGACAATGTAGTGGTGGAAAGTTTGTGGTTGGCCATCCCAAAATGGGATACGTCCTCCAGGTTGGCCGGAGTCACTAGTAGATGCCATACCCTTAGGTCCACTCATCTTGAAGGCTCCGCGGCACCAATCTGTTGTGCCAAGTGGATCTGAAGAGAATGAATCACGCTAAAGCACAAGCGACGCCATTGCCGCACATTTTCTACACGTAGGTTCTTGAGCTCAAGAGGGCCCCCTTCGCACGAAGCAATTCCATGCAAGAGGGGATCGAACAATCATGCATCAGAATGTAAGTGACCGAGTGGGTCGGTGTCTTGCCAACTGAACCCAGCACAAACAAGTGATTGAGACTGAAAGGAGCGTTCACTCACTCGCCACATTCTTGCATACATGATGTGTGCAATTTCTGTGGCTATCGTGAATCGTGCCCACATCAGACATGTGCTGTCTTTAGAGCACCTTCAGGAGTCATGCATCTAGGGTGTGATTTCTTCAAAAGACACAGATATCATGAGATCTTCAGGTCCAAGCAAATTGAAACGGTTTCGTTCTGCAGCAAGTTCCACATCTGAACGCCGAGCCATTTGCAGCGCTTTGCTGTTTCTTTTTCAGCCATGCAGATGCAGATGATCCACCTGATGCAGCCCATTCAGCCACGCTTGGTGCTGCAGCAGGCCGTGCTCAAGCAGCCAGTGGTGTCGCATGTGCGGCCAGCGCAGCCGTGGCTTGGGCAGCTGCAGCTGCCAGCTCAGGTGAGGCCCATGGCGCCAGCCGCGATGCCAACGCCGGTGAAGCACATGGCGAAGCTGGCCAGGCCATTGCGTTGGGTTTATGCTGCCCCTATGCAGCGCACCCAAGGACGCACCAATCAGGTGGTGCTTCCATTCCAACAGGTTGTTTCGACCAAGGTGATGGCTCCAGAGCGGAAGGAGCTTCCCAAAGAGGCCGGGTGTGGAGGGGATGCCCCATCGACTTTAAGGTTTTTTGGGAATTTAGCCTCTTCCGGTTTTGTCAAGAGTCAAAATGATCAAAATGTTAATTTGTTCCAGTTGGTCTTGCCGCGCCCAAAGCCACAGGTGTCCACGCAGGTGAAAGCACCAGAGCGCAAAGAGCTCCCGCTGATTGATGGCCAAGTTCCCAAAGACGCCGGTGTTGAGGGCATGCACCCAATCGATTTCAAAGCGTTTTGGGAGCAGAGCCTTTTCAAGTTTTTGTCAACTTGTTCAGTTCTTCCAGTCGGTGTTATGGGTTTCAAGAGACTCTCTCATGTTGATTTGCTCATCCGAAGCTATAGTCTTTTCGTGTTTTGTTGCCACAAAACTGTGCGTTCTTTGGATTTCTTGGGTATGTCCAAGCATCCCCCTGCCAGATGCAGGTGACAAAGTCGACACGGCAGAGAAAAATCAGAAGAACGGGTGTTATCGGATGTTCATGTTGGGCTTTAACCCCATTCAGCTGGAGTACACTCCCCCCTCTATAGGATCTATTAATCAAATTTGGGATATGTATAAGTGACCCCCTTGAGAAATGCACAAAGTGACAGCTCTGATTCTATAGAGGGGAATTCCACAAAAATGGAGCATTAAGTCAGTACCCCGTACTCTTACATTCTATAGAGGGCTATTCTGATCAGGAAAATAGATTCTATAGAGGGGGGGGCGTACTCCCCAATTTATATCTATAGAATCGGGGAGTATGGGGTAATGACTTAATCTGAAGGGGGATGTCCAAGCTTAGGAATCAGCAAAATATGGTTGTGGTCGACCTGCGCGGTGAAGACCGCGCAAGCGGCCACATCGCAGGGACAGTTCATGTCCCGGCCATGGATCTCCTCAAGGAGATCCAGAAATTTGTGGAGATGTTTTTGGACCAGCCCATCGTCGCATTCATGTGCCAATACTCGGCCCATAGGGCTCCGACAGCGGCTGGATGGATTGTAACAACATGCTTGCTGTGCATTTTTGTTTTCTAATTTCAAGAGTTGTACCAAAACCCCTTCAAGAGCAACAGTTTCAGCAGGGGAAAACCAAAGCAACAAGGTCGCCAACTTCTACCGAAAGAGCTGCCCATCCAAGCAGCGAGTGATAATCCTAGAGGGCGGCTTCAGGGGATGGGAGGCCCATGACCTCCCTATCCAGCAGATTGAGATGAAACTGTCCCAGAAAGCGGCTGACCAGCTTGCACTGAAGATCGGGAAGGAAGTTTCCAAGTTGACCGGCTGAATGTGTGGCTATGAGCGGCAGGCACAGGTCGAATTTGAATACCTGCCAAATTTAGATTGTCAGTTTCACCCCTTGGTCGAGGCCAACATTGCTTCGCCGGCACAATGCTGAAGTGCACCAAACAGTGGTAAAACCGAGCAGTCACAGTTAGTCAATATGGTCTCGAATCTTTTCTTTTGAAGATTGTGGTATTGTGGCTGAGGGCCATTTGGATTGCCAGCTGAGGTGGACATCTCTTTGCCTGTGGAGGTCGCGATGGCGATATCTACCACTCCTCAGCCGAGTGCTTTCAGCTACCTGAGGCTCTGCAGGGCTGGCTGGCTGGTTTAAAGATGTTTCAAATCTGCTGCATACTGATACATATCCCAGTATTAAACAAATATAATAAAATTATATATATGACACCTCATGTACACCATGTCCCCGGCTGCAGCTTCAAAGGCTCTTAGCATATGAGTCACGCGGTTGCCACGGGCGTCTCGACAGGAACGTCCCTTGCTTTGCTGTGGAAGGTCTTGGAAGGGGCCTCCTATCAACCGCCCATCACCCTTTGCCCTCCTAGGCCTTGGTTCGAGCTGCACTGGGCGAGTGTGGCTTTGGGCTTGGTGATTGGGCTTTGCCTCGGGCCTGTCCTTGAGGCACTGGTGGGCTTTCGATTGCTCCTCTACCAGGCCGTGATCCGCCGCTTGGTGGCTGGGATTCCGGCTGGGGTCCAGAGGCCTCTCTATAGAATCCTTTAGCTGTGCATGGACCGTAAGGTCATTGAGCTTGAGGACTTGGTTGAGGAGCTCCGGACGGAGGTCGATTTTTTGAAAGCCGAGTTGCGCCGGCTGAAACGAGTCGTGCGCGATCTGACTGACAAGCAGTCGGCCAGTGAAGATCGAGACAGTGCTGGGAGCGGCCGCTCACAGCGTGACTCCCGGCGTGGGTCAGGTGGTGATTCGGACGGCAGCTATTCAGTGGTCCGTGAGTTCAACGAGGCAGCCTCGAGGTCTAGAAGCGGTACAGTGTCCCCTTCGCCTCAAGCTTTGTCTGAGCGATCCCAGTCTATCCCCTGGTCGGATACCAGGTCAGTGGGGTCATCTGGCTGTGGCTTGACTTGGTTGCAGCGCGAGCACATCTGCGACGGCATCGCGGAGTACATCAAACGCTGTCTTCAAGGAGGTCATCGTGGAGAAAGCGGCAGAGGACGGATTGATTTGCCCAGCCGCATCTGGCTGGTGTTTCGGGATTTTGAAGGCAGGGATCACTGCCCGGTCAAGGTGTGCAGATCCTTCACGGAGTGCAAAGCTTTGGTGAAACGTGGAGAAGATTGCGGAGAAAGCATTTTTGTCGGGCTTCCCTCTGAGAGGGAAGCCTGCAGAGTCGCTGGAAAGACAGGTGTCGGGTGGCCAGTTGGCCGCTGAGGATGGACATCATGGACGGAGATGCTTCGGGGTTTGCCCCGGGCCCACGGCACGTCCTGTCGCTGGATGGCGGCACGGACCCGCACTACGACCTTTGGTGCTACACCTCCCCGCTGGGAGTCAGAATTCAATGCATTGTGATCAGCCCGGTCGACGACCGTTTTTTGCTTGCTTTTCCTCATCAAGTTTGGCATCGGCAAGTTGCGAGAAGGGTGCTTCCTCAACAGCTGCTGGGAAAACCGACGCTGGTGGAAGTGGCAGTTTCTCCCGAGGACGACAGAGAGACCGTGGACGACGCCGTAAGTATGAAGCTCTGGGTGGGCTATGTGGGGGCGATCGTCTACGACAGCTTGGAGATTGTGGACGTGGAGACTGCCATGGACTACCGCTTCAAGTCCGACGAATCTGGTGGATGGGTCCCCTATGCCGAGAGCCTCGTGGAAGTCCTGAAGGAGCACTTCGAGTTCCTCAGTGCCGAAAGCGGGGTCCCTCCCCTGGTAGAAGGTGTTGGATCGGAAGATCTTTCATCCAGGGTCACATCTTTGGAAGCAGCCTTGGGGAAGATGGCCCAGAACCTCGACATCGTGCTGGAGAAGGTGACGGAGCAGAAGCGTGGCGATGGCAGGGTGAAATTCACCGAGCCTTTGGTTACCGAGCCTCGTCGTGCGAGAAAGGATGCTCGCTCGGAGAAGTTCCCTACGCTGGATGCAGCAGTGGTCTCGGCAGCATTGGCAGCCGGAGTTTCGGAAGAGAACCTGGTGGAGATGCAGAAGATGATGGGAGCAGCAGAAGGAGCTTCGAAGAGACTTCGGGAGCCTGCTCTGAGGTCTTCTGGTGCTCGTGCAAAGCCTGCGAGTCGGGAGCCTCTGTCAGAGAGCGAAGACGAGGTGGAAGAGGTCGGCGAGCCTGGTTCTGCGCTGGATTCTTCCGCCAACCCTATGGAGAGTGCCCTGACGAAGCTGACGGAGCTGGTCAGTCTGCTCGCTGCGGACCGTGTGAAAAAGGCGAAGTCTTCCAAGGTAGAGTTAGCCTTGGACGGTCTGGTTTCTGGGTCTGGAGGCGACACTTCTGGGACCGCAGTTGGCAAGAGGGCTGCAGCAGCTCGAAGAGCTTTGAGGACGGCCTTGGTGGATGCTCCAGAGGAAATCTACATGGTGGTGGAGCGCCTTCTCCTGGAGGACCTGACCAGCCGGACCATAGCTCACGGCATGCCCAAGGCCGACCTGAATGCCCGGGCTTGGATAGAACATCGTTCGAGGATCGGCGCCTACAAAACATCCGCGCATTGTGCGTGGGGCGTTGGGGGGATCCTGGACGATCTCATACAGGGCAGGACGGCCCATGCCAGGGCCAGGGCAGCACTGCTCTTACTGCAGCTGGACCAGTGTGCGGTCGACAAGGGGGACTGGACTCTGGCGAGCGAGCTTTCACTGGAGCAAGGGCCCCCCCCTGTCAAGTCTGGCGACCCACTCGCCGCCACGAGTGAACGAGGGAGAAAGCCCATTCTCGAAGTTGCTCGACAGTCGCTGGTCGGAGGTTATGCTTTCGCACTTGAGAGATGCAGAGGACTATGTGCAGAAGAGGAGGTCCTTGGGCAAGAAGCTACAAGGGGAGGAGGCCAGTTCGGAAACAGCCAAAGCCAAGCAGAAAGCAAAAGCAAAAGGGAAGGCGACCGGCAACAACGCACAGCACAGATGCATGAGAGAAATGCTTACAGGGGAAACTGCCAGTCCCTCCGCTGCTCAGGTTGATGGTGACACGAAGATGGTCGTTGTCCCTGGCAGTCGCGCACCGACAGTTCGTGTTCCACCCCTGTTCAATTCGATGCTGAGACTGTTGGCCAAGCACTCTGACAGGCTTAGCGGGTTTTTGCAGACGTTCCTCAGCAATGTGCCGAGGCCTCGAGATGAGGTCACCTCGCTGGGCCCTCTTTGGCCGATCCCTCTCCCTTATCCTGAAGTTTTTGGGCGCGGGCCTGCTTTTGGAGCTTCTTGGAGGAAGAGACGTCTCTCCTTGCAAGTTTTGGTGATGGATTGGCTTTACTTAGGGCGACCATCTGTGTGCCCACCGCTGCTTTGGCTCGGCCGCAAACTGACCGGGCGCCAGTGGAAGAGAGTGCGTCTCTTGGAGGAGCTCAGCGAAGATGCGAATTCGTTTTTGGAGGTGGATGCACACTTGATGGCTCGGTCTGCTTTGAAAACGGTAGCCTCGGCTGACCAGCTGGCTGCCTTACACCGGGCTATTCTTTCCTGTGCTTCTACCAGCACGGCACCCTACGGGCGTGTGACTAGTTCTGCTACGTTTGCGCGTGGCAAAAATGAAGCAGAGGACCTGAGCAGTAGCTGGGAAGGTTTTGGGTTTTTTGATGGTGAATGTGAGGGAGGGCAATTGGTGGTGGCTCAACCGATTCAAGCTGATCGTATTCACTTCACTGGCTCTCCTGAATTTGAATAAATTACGATTCAGAAACTTTACCCGATTCAGCAACTCCGATTCAGCAACTCCGATTCAGAAACTCCAAGAGAAACTCCGGGTTGTCCCGATTCAGCAACTCCACCCTGTCCCGATTCAGCAACTCCACCCTGTCCCGATTCAGCAACTCCACCCTGTCCCGATTCAGCAACTCCTCCCTGTCCCGATTCAGCAACTCCACCCTGTCCCGATTCAGCAACTCCACCCTGTCCCGATTCAGCAACTCCACCCTGTCCCGATTCAGCAACTCCACCCTGTCCCGATTCAGCAACTCCACCCTGTCCCGATTCCGCAACTCCACCCCCTCCCGATTCAGCAACTCCACCCTGTTCCGATTCAGCAACTCCACCCTGTCCCGATTCAGCAACTCCACCCTGTCCCGATTCAGCAACTCCAACCTGTCCCGATTCAGCAACTCCACCCTGTCCCGCATCCTTCCCTTGCATAGAGTTCTTATCAAGATTCCAAGTCATTTTCTAAACTTCCCCCCCAAAGCTCTGCATGCAATGGTATTCCTCAATGCACATCCTTCCCTTGCATAGAGTTCTTCTCACGGTTGCAAGTCTTTTTATAAACTTCCCCCCCCAAAGCCCTGCATGCAATGGTATTCCTCAATGCAAATCTTTCCCTTGCATAGAGTTCTTGTCACCATTGCAAGTCATTTTCTAACCTTCCCCCCCCCAAAGCCCTACATGCAATAGTAGTCATCAATGCATACCTTCCCTTTCACAGAGTTCTTGTCACGATTGCAAGTCATTTTCTAAACTTCCCCCCCAAAAGCTCTGCATGCAATGGGATTCCTCAATGCACATCCTTCCCTTTCACAGAGTTCTTGTCACGATTGCAAGTCATTTTCTAAACTTCCCCCCCCCAAAGCTCTGCATGCAATGGTAGTCCTCAATGCACATCCTTCCCTTGCATAGAGTTCTTCTCACGGCTGCAAGTCATTTTTATAAACTTCCCCCCCTAAAAGCTCTGCATACAATGGTATTCCTCAATGCACATCCTTCCCTTTCATCGAGTTCTTGTCACCTTTGCAAGTCATTTTCTAAACTTCCCCCCCCAAAGCTCTGCATGCAATGGTAGTCCTCAATGCACATCCTTCCCTTGCATAGAGTTCTTGTCACGGTTGCAAGTCATTTTTATAAACTTCCCCCCCAAAGCTCTGCATACAATGGTATTCCTCAATGCACATCCTTCCCTTTCATAGAGTTCTTGTCACCATTGCAAGTCATTTTCTAAATTCCCCCCCCCCAAAGCTCTGCATACAATGGTATTCCTCAATGCACATCCTTCCTTTTCACAGAGTTCTTGTCACGGTTGCAAGTCATTTTCTAAACTTCCCCCCCTAAAAGCTCTGCATGCAATGGTATTTCTGAATGCACATCCTTCCCTTGCATAGAGTTCTTGTCCCCATTGCAAGTCATTTTCTAAACTTCCCCCCCCCCCAAAGCTCTGCATGCAAGGGTAGTCCTCAATGCACATCCTTCCCTTTCATAGAGTTCTTGTCACCATTGCAAGTCATTTTCTAAACTTCCCCCCCAAAGCTCTGCATGCAATGGTAGTCCTCAATGCACATCCTTCCCTTGCATAGAGTTCTTGTCACGGTTGCAAGTCATTTTTATAAACTTCCCCCCCCCAAAGCTCTGCATACAATGGTATTCCTCAATGCACATCCTTCCCTTTCATAGAGTTCTTGTCACCATTGCAAGTCATTTTCTAAACTTCCCCCCCCCAAAGCTCTGCATACAATGGTATTCCTCAATGCACATCCTTCCCTTGCATAGAGTTCTTCTCACGGTTGCAAGTCTTTTTATAAACTTCCCCCCCAAAGCCCTGCATGCAATGGTATTCCTCAATGCAAATTCTTCCCTTGCATAGAGTTCTTGTCACCATTGCAAGTCATTTTCTAACCTTCCCCCCCCAAAGCCCTACATGCAATAGTAGTCATCAATGCATACCTTCCCTTTCACAGAGTTCTTGTCACGATTGCAAGTCATTTTCTAAACTTCCCCCCCCCAAAGCTCTGCATACAATGGTATTCCTCAATGCACATCCTTCCCTTTCACAGAGTTCTTGTCACGATTGCAAGTCATTTTCTAAACTTCCCCCCCCAAAGCTCTGCATGCAATGGTAGTCCTCAATGCACATCCTTCCCTTTCACAGAGTTCTTGTCACGATTGCAAGTCATTTTCTAAACTTCCCCCCCCCAAAGCTCTGTATGCAATGGTAGTCCTCAATGCACATCCTTCCCTTGCATAGAGTTCTTCTCACTCGGTCCGGTTCCCATTCTACGGCATGCCCGGCACACCCTGCCTATAGATTTCCTATTTTTGAAACTTCCGCCACCGCCTTGCGCAGTACTACTGGTAATTTCTCATTTATTTTCTAGATTGTGTATTCCCTTTCAATTATATATATATATACAGTATAAAGTATACACATATTCTGTATATATTCTTGATGGCAATGAGTTTTTCTGGAGTCTGCAGGTTTCATTTGAACAGTAAAATCTCAGTAACTTTCCACTAGCAGTTTCCGAATCCGCGGGCTTCGAAGTTTCCGAATCCGGGGGGCAGGGAGTTTCCGAATCCGAGGGCCACGGAGTTTCCGAATCCGTGGGCCTTGAAGTTTCCGAATCCGAGGGCCTGGAAGTTTCCGAGGGCCTGGAAGTTTCCGAATCCGTGGGCTTCGAAGTTTCCGAATCCGGGGGGCAGCGAGTTTCCGAATCCGACGCCCTGGGAGTTTCCGAATCCGTGGGCCTTGAAGTTTCCGAATCCGAGGGCCTGCAAGTTTCCGAATCCGAGGGCTCGGAAGTTTCCAAATCCGCGGGCTTCGAAGTTTCCGAATCCGGGGGGCAGCAAGTTTCCGAATCCGAGGGTCTGGAAGTTTCGGAATCCGTGGGCTTCAAAGTTTCCGAATCCGGGGGGCAGCAAGTTTCCGAATCCGAGGACCTGGAAGTTTCCGAATCCGTGAGCTTCGAAGTTTCCGAATCCGGGGGGCTCGGAGTTTCCGAATCCGAGGGCCAGGAAGTTTCCGCATCCGGGGGGCAGCAAGTTTCCGAATCCGAGGGCCTGGAAGTTTCCGAATCCGTGGGCTTCGAAGTTTCCGAATCCGGGGGGCAGGAAGTTTCCGAATCCGAGGGCCAGGGAGTTTCCGAATCCGTGGGCTTCGAAGTTTCCGAATCCGAGGGCCTGGAAGTTTCCGAATCCGACGCCAAAGTTTCCGAATCCGGGGGGGAGGGAGTTTCCGAATCCGAGGGCCTGGGAGTTTCCGAATCCGACGCTGAAGTTTCCGAATCCGACGTTGGCCCCTGAATTTGATCCTTTACCTTTTTTTGACCAGCCCACTGCCCGTGCTTACGCAAGTCCTTTGGAATGTTCTCATGATGGTTGTGGCGTGAAGCCGCCCAAAGTTAGTGTCCATGCAAGTCGGTCTGAAAGGAACAAACTTTTTCAAAAGATGGCTGACTGTAATCGTCTAGTTCCTGTTGATCCTTGTCTTGTTCGCCGTGATCTTGCAAGTGGCCTTTTTTGTGTCCCCAAAGATCTGGAGAAGGATCGTCTTATTTTGGATTCTAGGCCCCCCAACACTGTGGAGCCCTGCCTTAGCAAATGGACTTCAACTATGAGTTCCGCTACCTGTTTGGGTGGGCTTGAACTGGACGATGATGAATGTTTGATCATGTCCGGCCGTGATATCCGCGATTTCTTTTACCAGTTCAAGGTGACTCCTGAGAGGAGCCGGCGAAATGTGCTGGCTGGGATTTTAGCCCCTGAAGACCTCGAGTTCATCTTCAGAAAGCCTTTTTCAAAGCCTGCCTATGTAGGTCTGAATACGTTAGCCATGGGAGATCTCAACTCGTGCGAGTACGCTCAAGGGGCTCATCTTCGGCTGATACTTGAGTGCGCCGGTGCCGAGCTCAGCGAGGTCATGATGCTGCATGAGCCTTTTCCCCGTGGACTTCTATCAGTTGGAGTCGTCATTGACGATTTGGTGTGCTTGGAGAAGGTTTTGAAGGGGTCGTTTACTGACTCCGTTTTTCAGGGCCCCAGCGAATGCGACCGTCGTATGGATCGCATCATGGACAAGTACAAGGAGGTGAAGCTGCCAACCAATGACAAGAAGGCCTTTGACAACGCCGTGACTGCCTCCTTTTGGGGAGTCCAACTTGATGGAAAAAAGGGGGTCATGAGAGCCAATGAAACCCGGCTCTGGCCGCTTGTTCTCATCACCGTGCGGGTGGCTGCTTTGGGCCTGGCTACTGTTGGGCTGTTGCGATCGCTGGCTGGCTCGTACATCTCCATCTCTACTATGCGGAGACGTTTGCTGGCGGTCATGAACCACATCTTTGATGCTATCAGTGCCTCTGAGAATGACAATCAGGTGGTGCGGCTTTCTGGTGGCCTACGTGACGAGCTTTTTTGCATGCTGACCATGGCCACCCTTGCTGTTGTCAAAACCCTTGGCACTCTTAGAGCCACTGATGCCTCAGATTGGGGTATGGCCGCTGTGTCCTGCGCGTTGCCAGTGCCTGTCGCTAAGGAAGCCCACAGGTTGAGCCTCTCAAAGAGTTTTTGGACAAAACTCTTGCCCCCTGCAAAAGCTTGGATGCGCATGAAGAGCCTGCTTGCTGCTGAGGAAGAGCTGCCTGATGGTGATGTCTACGATGTCCACCCGTTCTGGGAGCAGCTTGCAAGAAGTGTGGAATATCGGGAGGAGTGGCGAAAGCCGCACAGGAAGTCAGTCCACATCAACATTGGCGAGCTTCGAGCCTACCTACTGGAGGAGAGCCGCTTGGCGACCAATCATGTGTCAGCGCGCGTTGCGTTCGCGCTGGACTCACAAGTTGCCCTTGGAGCCTTGATCAAAGGGCGAGCCTCTTCGAAGGCCCTTAACGGCGAGTTGATGAAGAGCATCCCTCTTGTGATTGGCTCTGACCTGTACGGCGCCTACGGTTACTGGCCTTCAAAGTTGAACCGTGCTGATGGACCAACCAGAGATGACAAGCCCGCTCCCCCGGACCAACCGCTACCTTGGTGGTGGCATCTTGTTTGTGACGGACAGTATGAGGATTTCGACAGGTGGCTGCATGAGCAATCCCAAGCCCTTGCCGAAGTGAGGGAGTCATGTCAACGGCGCCTTGAGCGGCCGGTTGATATAAGGCCAGGTCGTCTTGTTCGTTTTCAAGAAAGGTGCGGGAGCCATCGCGCCAGTGTCCCAAGCATCGATGCCCCTCCTGATGGACCCCGAGCGGATGATGATGGATCTCTAGCACACCGGCCTCCTCACGGTCCTCTTCGTCCTGGCGGAGATCTATGTGGACGTGGAGTTCTACGTGGTGATCAACATCCTCGTGCTGGAGCTGGCGGTACCAACCTATTTCATGATGTTCCTCTTCATGGTCTTCCTGGTCCTCGAGGTGCTGTACGTGATCACGGAGCTCTTCATGGTGATGATTGTCTTCGTGCTGGCGATCCTGACGGAGCTGTGCTATGTGACGGCGGAGCTCCTCTTTCTGGTGCTGCAGTCGGACGTGAAGAGGCTTCAGCTCTCTGTGCGGAAGCCCTGGAGATTCTGAGAAGCTTCGATGCGAAACAAGTCTTTTTTCGAAAAGGCATTGCAGACTTCCTGGAAGCCGGAGCCCTGGACCTTTATTCGGGCACCGGTGGAGTTGTCAAGAGCCTGCAACGTGGTGGTTGCCCCTGGGTCGTGAGTTTTGAGATCAAAAGGAGCTCTTCAGAAGATGTGCTGAGCAAGACCAATCAGTACAAGATAGTACGTCTGATTCGGTTGGGAGCTGTGAAGCTGGTGGGGTCAGCTTTGGTTTGCCGGTCGTTTTCGCCGGCTGTCACCCCCCCAGTCAGGTCTGCACGATACCCACGTGGGGTGCCCTGGGCCAGCCCAGCTATGAGAGAAAAGATCTCCGAAGGAAATGCTATGAGTGATTTTGACTGCGAAGTCAGAGCTGCATGTGATGAGCAGGAGCCTCCAGTCTTTTTCTGGACTGAAAACCCTGACACGAGCTTCCTTTGGCGAATGCCGACGAATCGTCGTTTTAGAAGGCCTGGCAGCAAAAACCTTTGCAGGGTTGATTTCTGCCGCTTTGGCACTCCTTGGCGAAAGCGAACCCGCCTTGCTACAAATGTGCCTAAGTTGCGAGGCCTCCGGGTTTTCTGCACCTGCTCGAGACCTCACCAAACCCTTCGTGGTCAACACCCAACTCTCAAGATACCGTGGACTGCTGTTGCCCAGCCCTATCCCAGAGGGTTTGCGAAAATGGTGGCAGCCGCTGCTCTTGATGCTTGCGGATGGGGAGGACCTTTTGATATAGCAGGCTGCGCAAGGTGCTCTAGCCTGAGGATCGGTGAGGCCAAGAACCCCGGACCTCGAAGACCTGCTCGATCTCGGGCGTTCTCCTTGGAGCAGGCTCCGGTGCAAACGTGGGCCTCGATCAACCTTGGCGAGCGAAGATGGCAGCTATTTTTGGAGTGGTGTCGTGGCTTCCTCTCTGGAGATCCCGTCGCCCTCTTTCTGATGGTGCCGCTGTTCCTTGCACACGCCATTAGGCGCTATGGTGATTTAGACTTCATGTCGGGAGGTTCTTTGCTTTACTTCCGGCACTTGGTTCTTGCGGCCCAAAGGAAGATCCCCATTGAAGCCCTTTGTTTCAATTTGCTGGGACTTGGCCACCAGATGGGAGAAGATCGAGCCTGTGCGTCATCGGCCCCCTGTCCCTGAAGCCTTAGTTGAGGCTTTGGTCAGTTTAGCCTGGCTCTTAGGGTGGAGGCGATGGAGCTCTATCACTATGCTATGTTTCTATGGTGTGGCTCGGGCCGGCGAGGTGCTCCAATGCATCCGACAAGACCTTTTGTTGCCAGCCGACATGATGTTTGAGTCCGACTGCGCCTTTTTACTCTTGAGACAGTCCAAGACTATGTATAGACAGCTTGCTCGAGTTCAGCATCTGAAGATCAGTTCTCCTCATGTTGTACGTTTGCTAGCTTTTGTGTACCGTGATGCTGCACGTGATGAACAGCTTTTTCATGGCACACCGCATGTGTATAGACAACGCTGGAACTTCCTTTTACGGCTGCTTCATGTTCCTGATGCCCTTAGGATCACTCCTGGTGGCCTTCGCGGAGGCGGAGCAGTTGCTTGGTACAGAAAAGGGGGATCTGTTAGCGAGCTGATGTGGATGATGCGCTTGAAGCAGATCACCACCCTTGAAGCTTACTTGCAGGAAGTTTCGGCTATCAGTCTTTTGACTGATTTGCCTCTGGTTTCACGTCAAGCCCTACGGGCCGCTGCCTCTTTGTTTAGACACCTGAGTGCTTCGCTGGGATGAGGACAACGCGCAGTTTTTGGCTGCGCCTTGTGTGGCTGCTTGGCTACTACGTCATTTTACCCAAGGCGCCTTTCTCTATGGTGGTAGAGGATGTTTCGTGAATGGCCTTGGACTTCGTTTTGCCCAAGCTGCTTTGGTTGCCCTTTCCCTTCACCTTTGCGGAGATCGGGCTGCAGCTTGCATTGATCCTGCGGCCTTTGCAGCATTCACTTCTACCGAGCCTATCTGGCGCTGTGGAAAACAGCTCAGTGTGTATGTGGCAGCGTCGTGGTCAGAGTTTACATGACACCTCATGTACACCATGTCCCCGGCTGCAGCTTCAAAGGCCCGTCCCACCTCCCCGGCAAGCCGCCCGGAGGTAGAGGATGTTTCGTGAATGGCCTTGGACTTCGTTTTGCCCAAGCTGCTTTGGTTGCCCTTTCCCTTCACCTTTGCGGAGATCGGGCTGCAGCTTGCATTGTTCCTGCGGCCTTTGCAGCATTCACTTCTACCGAGCCTATCTGGCGCTGTGGAAAACAGCTCAGTGTGTATGTGGCAGCGTCGTGGTCAGGGTTTACATATATATATATAATATATATATATATTTATAACTAGTATTCTATTGATTTCTATAGTACGTTTACATACTATAGTATATATATATATGATTCACTTATTTACGCGTGTCTGCATATATTTGTCTATAAATATATAAATGTATACACATACATGCATACATACATACATACATACCTACCTACCCGAGGCTCCAGACGGGTGGCACTTGGAGGTTTCTTTGATAGGACTGCCTGAGTGGTTTGAAGATGTTTCAAGACAGTTTCAAGATTTGTCAAACTTTTTCCATGATATATGTATTTACATTTTACTTCGTAGCAGGGGTCTTGCTATTTTGCAGCCAGCTCAAGAGCAGCTATCGGGTACAGCGATGCACCATGATCAACTGCTAGCGCACACTCATGACATCTCATGACAATGGTGATGGTGTTCTTAATGAGGATCATGACTCATGACTCATGACTCATGACGATGATGATGATGATGATGATGATGGCGATGACAATGACGATGATGATGATGATGATCATCATCATCATCATCATGATGCTGACCGTTTCAAGCTTGGAATGATTTGCTGGTCTGCCATTTTTTTGCCAAGTTGAGTCTGACACCAGGCGGCCTTGGCTTGGTGACATTAGGCTTGGGGCCTGAGGAAATGGTTAAGATGATCTGTGAGTTGAGCTATAGATTAGATAAATTCGAAAAGCACACTTCAGGAAGGAAATTTGTATTTTTCGACAAGGTTCTATTGTTGATTCACGACATGGGTTTGCCCCTGGAGTTCATAGCTACAATTTTTTAAAGTTTTGAAGCGAAGTCTTTCCTCATCATCCTATATAATCCTTTCCTTGGCGGGAATGGGAAAGGGTCAGCCAAAAAGCAAGACATGAGACTCATCATGAGACATCCCGAGATCTTCAGGTCGAAGTGCTGCAGGTTTCCACATCTCGCCGAGCCATTCAGCTTCGAGTCTGCATAGTCTGTATCGTGTTAGAGTGTGTTGCGTTCTTTCCATGCAGATGCAGCAGATGCAGCCACGCTTGGTGCTGCAGGCCGTGGTCAGGCAGCCAGTGCTGTCGCATGCGCGGCCAGCGCAGCCCTGGGACAGGTCAGCTTGGTCAGAATCCTGCGAGGCCCATGGCGATGCCAGTGGCGATGCCAGTAGCGATGCCAACGCCCATCGTGAAGGCCGTGGTCAAGCCCGTGGTGAAGCCATCGCAATGGATTTATGCCTTGCTCCAAAGCACCCCAGGACGCAGCACCAGGTGGTCCTCTGTGGAAGGTGTGGTTTTGGCGTGTCTTGTTGCCCCAACGTGCGACTCTAACCAGACGAGGAATGTTTGAATCCTTTGGTGTATGTCAAAGCCCAGGAAGCATCAAAGTTGCGCGGGCAAGATCGGGCAAGCGGGGCTATTCGGCCATTCCAGGAACGGCAAATATCCCAGCCATGGATCTCCTTGAGGAGATCCATGGCCGGGACATGAACTGTCCCCAAACTTCTCCACGTCTATTCAGCTCATCGAGCTTCCACTGTGGCTGGATGCATTTGTAGCAATACACTTGCTGTGCATGTGTATTTTCTATTGTTTTCTGATTTCAAGAGTTGTACCACAACTCCCTTCAAGAGCAACAGTTTCAGCAGGGGAAAACCAAAGCAACAAGGTCGCAAACTTCTACCGAAAGAGCTGCCAGTCCCGACAGCGCGTGATGATCCTGGAGGGCGGCTTCAGGGGATGGGAGGCCCATGACCTCCCTATCCAGCAGATTGAGACGAAACTGTCCCAGAAAGTGTGTGACCAGCTGGCCCTGATTGGGAAGGATGTTTCCAAGTTGACCGGCTGGAACGCGTGTGACCAGCTGGCCGTGAAGATTGGCCAGAGTGTCTCAAAGTTGATGGCTGAGTGCCATGTGATGAGCAGCAGGCACAGTTCGAATGCCTGCCGCCATCAGCATTCAGCCGTCAGTATCCAGTACCACCCCTTGGTCGAGGCCAACATTGCTTCGCCCACAACTAGACGACGGATGGCCCGATCTATGTAGATGTGTAGATGTGAAGATGTGAAGATGTATAACAGGCCCCCACTATTAGAAGAACCCTTCGCTCAGACGCTCTCGGGAAAAAGCAGAGTGGTCAGTCACGGGTCAAGGTTGGTCTTGAATCCCCTTGTGGCGTTGTGGCTGAAGGGCCATCAGAAGCAGCGCCCAATTTTGAGACGCAACTTCCCAGCTGAGGTGGGCATCTTTTTGCAATATCTCCTCAGCCGAGTGCTTTTAGCTGTACCTGATGCTCCAGACGGGGCTGCGGCACTCGGAGGTTTGCCGTGGTCGGGCTGGCCGGGTGGTTGGAAGATGTTTCAAATTTGTTGCATATATTTGACATATCAATCATATCCATATCAATCATTTGAAAATTTGATTACACTTACTGTAATCTTTACTTAGTAGCAGAGGCAATTGCTGCCTGTTGCAACTGTTGCGCCCAGCCCAAGAGCAGCCAGGGTATAGCGATGTGCCATGATCAAGTGCATACTCCTGACATCTCATGACGATGGTGGTGATGATGATGGCGACGATGACGATCCTTTCAGGTTTAAGACGGGTTTGCCATTTTTTGCCAAGTGGAGTCTGATTCCAGGTATGAACTGCTATGCCATCTATGCGTATGTACCCACCACGATGATGATGATGATGATGATGATGATGATGGTGGTGGTGGTGATGATGATGATGATGACGATGATGATGATGATGATGATGATGACGACGATTGTGATTGCGATTGCGATGACTTGCTATGATTTGCTGTTTTTTGCCACGTAAAGTCTGATGCCAGGCGGCCTTGGCTTGGAGGCCTTACGTTTGGGACCTGAGGAAATATCTGCCTAAGACATCATGTGTGAGTTATCTAGAGAAGTGGAAAAACACTCTGGACAGGCATTCTGCAGGAAGGAAATGAGCATGGATTTTCCCTATGAGTTTATAAGTTCAAAACTGCAGTCTTGAAGCAAAGTCCTTTCCCTGTGTTTAAGGGGAAAGGGTGAGCCAAAAGCAAGACATGAGATATCATGAGATCTTCAGGTCCAAGCAAATTGAAACGGTTTCGTTCTGCAGCAAGTTCCACATCTCAACGCCGAGCCATTTGCAGCGCTTTGCCGTTTCCTTTTCAGCCATGCAGATGCAGATGATCCCGATGCAGCCGATTCAGCCACGGGTGCAGCAGGCCGTGCTCAAGCAGCCAGTGCTGTCGCATATGTCGCATGTGCGGCCAGCGCAGCCGTGGCTTGGGCAGCTGCAGCTGCAGCAGCTGCCAGCTCAGGTGAGGCCGGCTGCGGGGCCGGCGCCAGCCGCGATGCCAACGCCCATGGTGCACATGGCGAAGCTGGCCAGGCCATTGCGTTGGGTGTATGCTGCCCCTATGCATCCTATGCAACGCACCCAAGGACGCAGCAATCAGGTGGTGCTTCCATTCCAACAGGTTGTTTCGACCAAGGTGGCTCCAGAGCGGAAGGAGCTTCCCAAAGAGGCCGGGTGTGGAGGGGATGCCCCATTGACTAATTTTTTTTGGGAATTTAGCCTCTTCCGGTTTTGTCAAGAGTCAAAATGATCAAAATGTTAATTCGTTCCAGTTGGTTTTGCCGCGCCCAAAGCCACAGGTGGTGTCCACGCAGGTGAAAGCACCAGAGCGCAAAGAGCTCCCGCTGATTGATGGCCAAGTTCCCAAAGACGCCGGTGTTGAGGGCATGCACCCAATCGATTTCAAAGCGTTTTGGGAGCAGAGCCTTTTCAAGTTTTTGTCAACTTGTTCAGTTCTTCCAGTCGGTGTTATGGGTTTCAAGAGACTCTCTCATGTTGATTTGCACATCCGAAGCTATGGTCTTTTCGTTTTTTGTTGCCACAAAACTGTGAGTTCTTTGGATTTCTTTGGTATGTCATGGTATGTCCAAGCTTAGGAATCAGCAAAATATGGTTGTGGTCGACCTGCGCGGTGAAGACCGCGAAAGTGGCCACATCGCAGGGACAGTTCATGTCCCAGCCATGGATCTCCTCAAGGAGATCCAGAAATTTGTGGAGATGTTTTTGGACCAGCCCATCGTGGCCTTCCTGTGCCAATACTCGGCACATAGGGCTCCGACAGCGGCTGGATGGATTGTAACAACATGCTTGCTGTGCATTTTTGTTTTCTAATTTCAAGAGTTGTACCAAAACCCCTTCAAGAGCAACAGTTTCAGCAGGGGAAAACCAAAGCAACGAGGTCGCCAACTTCTACCGAAAGAGCTGCCCAACCAAGCAGCGCGTGATGATCCTGGAGGGCGGCTTCAGGGGATGGGAGGCCCATGACCTCCCTATCCAGCAGATTGAGACGAAACTGTCCCAGAAAGCGGCTGACCAGCTTGCACTGAAGATCGGGAAGGAAGTTTCCAAGTTGACCGGCTGAATGTGTGGCTATGAGCGGCAGGCACAGGTCGAATTTGAATACCTGCCAAATTTAGATTGTCAGTTTCACCCCTTGGTCGAGGCCAACATTGCTTCGCCGGCACAATGCTGAAGTGCACCAAACAGTGGTAAAACCGAGCGGTCACAGTTAGGGCTTTGCGGCATTGTGGCTGAGGGCCATTTGGATTGCCAGCTGAGGTGGACATCTCTTTGCCTGTGGAGGTCGCGATGGCGATATCTACCTCAGCCGAGTGCTTTCAGCTACCTGAGGCTCTGCAGGGCTGGCTGGCTGGTTTGAAGATGTTTCAAATCTGCTGCATACTGATACATATCCTAGTATTAAAAAATGAAAATAACACTATATATATAATATAATATATATATAATATAATATAATATATATATATAATATAATATATATATAATATAATATATATATGATATAATATATATATAATATAATATATATATATTTATTTATTTATAATTAGTATTCTATTGATTTCTATAGTATATTTACATACTATAGTATATATATAATTCACTTATTTACGTGTGTCTGCATATATTTGTCTATAAATATATAAATGTATACACATGCATACATACATACATACATACATACATACATACATACCTGAGGCTCCAGACGGGTGGCACTTGGAGGTTTCTTTGATAGGACTGCCTGAGTGGTTTGAAGATGTTTCAAGACAGTTTCAAGATTTGTCAAACTTTTTCCATGATATATGTATTTACATTTTACTTCGTAGCAGGGGTCTTGCTATTTTGCAGCCAGCTCAAGAGCAGCTATCGGGTACACCGATGTACCATGATCAACTGCTAGCGCACACTCAAGACATCTCATGACAATGGTGATGGTGTTCTTAATGAGGATCATGACTCATGACTCATGACGATGATGATGATGATGATGACGACGACGACGATGATGATGATGATGCCGACCGTTTCAAGCTTAGAATGATTTGCTGGTTTGCCATTTTTTTGCCAAGTTGAGTCTGACACCAGGCGGCCTTGGCTTGGTGGCGTTAGGTTTGGGGCCTGAGGAAATGGCTGCCTAAGATGATCTGTGAGTTGAGCTATAGATTAGATAAATTCGAAAAGCACACTTCAGGAAGGAAATTTGTATTTTTCGACAAGGTTCTATTGTTGATTCACGACATGGGTTTGCCCCTGGAGTTCATAGCTACAATTTTTTAATGTTTTGAAGCGAAGTCTTTCCTCATCATCCTATATAATCCTTTCCTTGGCGGGAATGGGAAAGGGTCAGCCAAAAAGCAAGACATGAGACTCATCATGAGACATCCCGAGATCTTCAGGTCGAAGTGCTGCAGGTTTCCACATCTCGCCGAGCCATTCAGCTTCGAGTCTGCATAGTCTGTATCGTGTTAGAGTGTGTTGCGTTCTTTCCATGCAGATGCAGCAGATGCAGCCACGCTTGGTGCTGCAGGCCGTGGTCAGGCAGCCAGTGCTGTCGCATGCGCGGCCAGCGCAGCCCTGGGACGGGTGCATCAGCTTGGTCAGAATTCTGCGAGGCCCATGGCGATGCCAGTGGCGATGCCAACGCCCATCGTGAAGGCCGTGGTCAAGCCCGTGGTGCACGCCAGGACGCAGCACCAGGTGGTCCTCTGTGGAAGGTGTGGTTTTGGCGTGTCTTGTTGCCCCAACGTGTGACTCTAACCAGACGAGGAATGTTTGAATCCTTTGGTGTATGTCAAAGCCCAGGAAGCATCAAAGTTGCGCGGGCAAGATCGGGCAAGCGGGGCTATTCGGCCATGCCAGGAACGGCAAATATCCCGGCCATGGATCTCCTCAAGGAGATCGGGAAATATGTGGAGGAGTGTGGGGACCAGCCGATCGTGGCATTTTTTTGCCAGTATTCGAGTACTGGCACAAGAATGCCACGATCGGCTGGTCCCCAAAATCCTTCACGTACTTCCCGATCTCCTTGAGGAGATCCATGGCCGGGACATGAACTGTCCCCAAGCTTCTCCACGTCTATTCAGCTCATCGAGCTTCCACTGTGGCTGGATGTATTTGTAGCAATACACTTGCTGTGCATGTGTATTTTCTATTGTTTTCTGATTTCAAGAGTTGTACCACAACTCCCTTCAAGAGCAACAGTTTCAGCAGGGGAAAACCAAAGCAACAAGTTCGCAAACTTCTACCGAAAGAGCTGCCAGTCCCGACAGCGCGTGATGATCCTGGAGGGCGGCTTCAGGGGATGGGAGGCCCATGACCTCCCCATCCAACAGATATAGACGAAACTTTCCCAGAAAGCGTGTGACCAGCTGGCCCTGATTGGGAAGGATGTTTCCAAGTTAAGTTGACCGGCTGGAACGCGTGTGACCAGCTGGCCGTGAAGATTGGCCAGAGTGTCTCAAAGTTAATGGCTGAGTGCCATGTGATGAGCAGCAGGCACAGTTCGAATGCCTGCCGCCATCAGCATTCAGCCGTCAGTATCCAGTATCACCCCTTGGTCGAGGCCAACATTGCTTCGCCCACAACTAGACGACGGATGGCCCGATCTATGTAGATGTGTAGATGTGAAGATGTGAAGACGTATAACAGGCCCCCACTATTAGAAGAACCCTTCGCTCAGACGCTCTCGGGAAAAAGCTGAAGCGCAGAGAACTGTAGAAAAAGCAGAGTGGTCAGTCACGGGTCAAGGTTGGTCTTGAATCCCCTTGTGGCGTTGTAGCTAAGAGCCATCAGAAGCAGCGCCCAATTTTGAGACGCAACGAACTTCCCAGCTGAGGTGGGCATCTTTTTGCAATATCACTCCTCAGCCGAGTGCTTTTTGTTGTACCTGATGCTCCAGACGGGGCTGCGGCACTCGGAGGTTTGCCGTGGTCGGGCTGGCCGGGTGGTTGGAAGATGTTTCAAATTTGTTGCATATATTTGACATATCAATCATATCCATATCAATCATTTGATTACACTGTAATCTTTACTTAGTAGCAGAGGCAATTGCTGCCTGTTGCAACTGTTGCGCCCAGCCCAAGAGCAGCCAGGGTATAGCGATGTGCCATGACCAAATGCATACTCCTGACATCTCATGACATCTCATGACGATGGTCGTGATGATGATGGCCCCGATGACGATCCTTTCAGGTTTAAGATGGGTTTGCCATTTTTTGTCAAGTGGAGTCTGATTCCAGGTATTAACTGCTATGCCATCTATGCGCATGTACCCACCACGATGATGATGATGATGGTGGTGGTGGTGATGATGATGATGACGACGATGATGATGATGATGATGACGACGACGACGATTGTGATTGCGATTGCGATGACTTGCTATGATTTGCTGTTTTTTTGCCACGTAAAGTCTGATGCCAGGCGGCCTTGGCTTGGAGGCCTTACGTTTGGGACCTGAGGAAATATCTGCCTAAGACATCATGTGTGAGTTATCTAGAGAAGTGGAAAAACATTCTGGACTCTGGACAGGCATTCTGCAGGAAGGAAATGAGCATGGATTTTCCCTATGAGTTCATAAGTTCAAAACTGCAGTCTTAGAAGCAAAGTCCTTTCCCTGTGTTTAAGGAAGGGGAAAGGGTGAGCCAAAAGCACGACATGAGATATCATGAGATCTTCAGGTCCAAGCAAATTGAAACGGTTTCGTTCTGCAGCAAGTTCCACATCTGAAGGCCGAGCCATTTGCAGCGCTTTGCTGTTTCCTTTTCAGCCATGCAGATGCAGATGATCCACCCGATGCAGCCGATTCAGCCACGGGTGCAGCAGGCCGTGCTCAAGCAGCCAGTGGTGCTGTCGCATATGTCGCATGTGCGGCCAGCGCAGCCGTGGCTTGGGCAGCAGCAGCTGCAGCAGCTGCCAGCTCAGGTGAGGCCGGCTGCGGGGCCGGCGCCAGCCGCGATGCCAACGCCCATGGTGCACATGGCGAAGCTGGCCAGGCCATTGCGTTGGGTGTATGCTGCCCCTATGCATCCTATGCAACGCACCCAAGGACGCACCCAGGTGGTGCTTCCATTCCAGGTTGTTTCGACCAAGGTGGCTCCAGAGAAGGAGCTTCCCAAAGAGGCCGGGTGTGGAGGGGATGCCCCATCGACTTTAATTTTTTTTGGGAATTTAGCTTCCGATTTTGTCAAGAGTCAAAATGATCAAAATGTTAATTTGTTCCAGTTGGTTTTGCCTTCCGCACCCAAAGCCACAGGTGGTGTCCACGCAGGTGAAAGCACCAGAGCGCAAAGAGCTCCCGCTGATTGATGGCCAAGTTCCCAAAGACGCCGGTGTCGAGGGCATGCACCCAATCGATTTCAAAGCGTTTTGGGAGCAGAGCCTTTTCAAGTTTTTGTCAACTTGTTCAGTTCTTCCAGTCGGTGTTATGGGTTTCAAGAGACTCTCTCATATTGATTCGCTCATCCGAAGCTATGGTCTTTTCGTGTTTTGTTGCCACGAAACTGTGCGTTCTTTGGATTTCTTTGGTATGTCATGGTATGTCCAAGCTTAGGAATCAGCAAAATATGGTTGTGGTCGACCTGCGCGGTGAAGACCGCGCAAGTGGCCACATCGCAGGGACAGTTCATGTCCCAGCCATGGATCTCCTCAAGGAGATCCAGAAATTTGTGGAGATGTTTTCGGACCAGCCCATCGTGGCCTTCCTGTGCCAATACTCGGCACATAGGGCTCCGACAGCGGCTGGATGGATTGTAACAACATGCTTGCTGTGCGTTTTTGTTTTCTGTTTTCAAGAGTTGTACCAAAAGCCCCTTCAAGAGCGACAGTTTCAGCAGGGGAAAACCAAAGCAACGAGGTCGCCAACTTCTACCGAAAGAGCTGCCCAACCAAGCAGCGCGTGATGATCCTGGAGGGCGGCTTCAGGGGATGGGAGGCCCATGACCTCCCTATCCAGCAGATTGAGACGAAACTGTCCCAGAAAGCGGCTGACCAGCTTGCACTGAAGATCGGGAAGGAAGTTTCCAAGTTGACCGGCTGAATGTGTGGCTATGAGCGGCAGGCACAGGTCGAATTTGAATACCTGCCAAATTTAGATTGTCAGTTTCACCCCTTGGTCGAGGCCAACATTGCTTCGCCGGCACAATGCTGAAGTGCACCAAACAGTGGTAAAACCGAGCGGTCACAGTTAGTCAATATGGTCTCGAATCTTTTCTTTTGAAGATTGTGGCATTGCCAGCTGAGGTGGACATCTCTTTGCCTGTGGAGGTCGCGATGGCGATATCTACCTCAGCCGAGTGCTTTCAGCTACCTGAGGCTCTGCAGGGCTGGCTGGTTTGAAGATGTTTCAAATCTGCTGCATACTGATACATATCCTAGTATTAAAAAAATATAATAAAATTATATATAATATATATATATATTTATAATTAGTATTCTATTGATTTCTATAGTACGTTTACATACTATAGTATATATATATAATTCACTTATTTACGTGTGTCTGCATATATTTGTCTATAAATATACAAATGTATACACATACATACAGACAGACAGACAGACAGACATACAGACAGACAGACATACATACATACCTACCTACCCGAGGCTCCAGACGGGTGGCACTTGGAGGTTTCTTTGATAGGACTGCCTGAGTGGTTTGAAGATGTTTCAAGACAGTTTCAAGATCTGTCAAACTTTTCCCATGATAAATCGGATGATATATGTATTTACATTTTTCTTCGTAGCAGGGGTCTTGCTATTTTGCAGCCAACTCAAAAGCAGCTATAGGGTACAGCGATGCACCATGATCAACTGCTAGCGCACACTCATGACATCTCATGACAATGGTGATGGTGTTCTTAATGAGGATCATGACTCATGACTCATGACTCATGACTCATGACGATGACGATGATGATGATGATGATGATGATGATGATGATGATGATGGCGATGACAATGACGATGACGATGATGATGATGATGATGATGATGATGATGATGATGGCGATGACGATGACGATGACGATGACGATGACGATGATGATGATGATGATCATCATCATCATCATCATCATGATGCTGACCGTTTCAAGCTTGGAATGATTTGCTGGTCTGCCATTTTTTGCCAAGTTGAGTCTGACACCAGGCGGCCTTGGCTTGGTGACATTAGGCTTGGGGCCTGAGGAAATGGCTAAGATGATCTGTGAGTTGAGCTATAGATTAGATAAATTCGAAAAGCACACTTCAGGAAGGAAATTTGTATTTTTCGACAAGGTTCTATTGTTGATTCACGACATGGGTTTACCCCTGGAGTTCATAGCTATAATTTTTTAATGTTTTGAAGCGAAGTCCTTTCCTCATCATCCTATATAATCCTTTCCTTGCCGGGAATGGGAAAGGGTCAGCCAAAAAGCAAGACATGAGACTCATCATGAGACATCCCGAGATCTTCAGGTCGAAGTGCTGCAGGTTTCCACATCTCGCCGAGCCATTCAGCTTCGAGTCTGCATAGTCTGCATCGTGTTAGAGTGTGTTGCGTTCTTTCCATGCAGATGCAGCAGATGCAGCCACGCTTGGTGCTGCAGGCCGTGGTCAGGCAGCCAGTGCTGTCGCATGCGCGGCCAGCGCAGCCCTGGGACAGGTCAGCTTGGTCAGAATCCTGCGAGGCCCATGGCGATGCCAGTGGCGATGCCAGTAGCGATGCCAACGCCCATCGTGAAGGCCGTGGTCAAGCCCGTGGTGAAGCCATCGCAATGGATTTATGCCTTGCTCCAAAGCACCCCAGGACGCAGCACCAGGTGGTCCTCTGTGGAAGGTGTGGTTTTGGCGTGTCTTGTTGCCCCAACGTGCGACTCTAACCAGACGAGGAATGTTTGAATCCTTTGGTGTATGTCAAAGCCCAGGAAGCATCAAAGTTGCGCGGGCAAGATCGGGCAAGCGGGGCTATTCGGCCATTCCAGGAACGGCAAATATCCCAGCCATGGATCTCCTCAAGGAGATCGGGAAATATGTGGAGGAGTGTGGGGACCAGCCGATCGTGGCATTTTTTTGCCAGTATTCGAGTATTGGCACAAGAATGCCACGATCGGCTGGTCCCCAAAATCCTTCACGTACTTCCCGATCTCCTTGAGGAGATCCATGGCCGGGACATGAACTGTCCCCAAACTTCTCCACGTCTATTCAGCTCATCGAGCTTCCACTGTGGCTGGATGCATTTGTAGCAATACACTTGCTGTGCATGTGTATTTTCTATTGTTTTCTGATTTCAAGAGTTGTACCACAACTCCCTTCAAGAGCAACAGTTTCAGCAGGGGAAAACCAAAGCAACAAGTTCGCAAACTTCTACCAAAAGAGCTGCCAGTTCAAACAGCGTGTGATGATCCTGGAGGGCGGCTTCAGGGATGGGAGGCCCATGACCTCCTTATCCAGCAGATTGAGACGAAACTGTCCCAGAAAGCGTGTGACCAGCTGGCCCTGATTGGGAAGGATGTTTCCAAGTTGACCGGCTGGAACGCGTGTGACCAGCTGGCCGTGAAGATTGGCCAGAGTGTCTCAAAGTTGATGGCTGAGTGCCGTGTGATGAGCAGCAGGCACAGTTCGAATGCCTGCCGCCATCAGCATTCAGCCGTCAGTATCCAGTACCACCCCTTGGTCGAGGCCAACATTGCTTCGCCCACAACTAGACCACGGATGGCCCGATCTATGTAGATGTGAAGAAATGCTGATATAATAATGTGTAGATCTGAAGATGAGAGGATGTATAGATGTGAATCTGTGAAGATGATAATATGTGTAGATGTGAACCTGTGAAGATGTATAACAGGCCCCCACTATTAGAAGAACCCTTCGCTCAGACGCTCTCGGGAAAAAGCAGAGTGGTCAGTCACGGGTCAAGGTTGGTCTTGAATCCCCTTGTGGCGTTGTGGCTGAAGGGCCATCAGAAGCAGCGCCCAATTTTGAGACGCAACGAACTTCCCAGCTGAGGTGGGCATCTTTTTGCAATATCACTCCTCAGCCGAGTGCTTTTAGCTGTACCTGATGCTCCAGACGGGGCTGCGGCACTCGGAGGTTTGCCGTGGTCGGGCTGGCCGGGTGGTTGGAAGATGTTTCAAATTTGTTGCATATATTTGACATATCAATCATATCCATATCAATCATTTGAAAATTTGATTACACTTACTGTAATCTTTACTTAGTAGCAGAGGCAATTGCTGCCTGTTGCAACTGTTGCGCCCAGCCCAAGAGCAGCCAGGGTATAGCGATGTGCCATGACCAAATGCATACTCCTGACATCTCATGACATCTCATGACGATGGTGGTGATGATGATGGCGACGATGACGATCCTTTCAGGTTTAAGATGGGTTTGCCATTTTTTGTCAAGTGGAGTCTGATTCCAGGTATTAACTGCTATGCCATCTATGCGTATGTACCCACCACGATGATGATGATGATGATGATGATGGTGGTGGTGGTGATGATGATGATGATGCTGGTGATGATGATGATGATGATGATGACGATGACGATGACGATGACGATGATGACGATGATGATGATGATGATGATGACGACGATTGTGATTGCGATTGTGCTGACTTGCTATGCCGTTTTTTGCCACGTAAAGTCTGATGCCAGGCGGCCTTGGCTTGGAGGCCTTACGTTTGGGACCTGAGGGAATATCTGCCTAAGACATCATGTGTGAGTTATCTAGAGAAGTGGAAAAACACTCTGGACAGGCATTCTGCAGGAAGGAAATGAGCATGGATTTTCCCTATGAGTTCATAAGTTCAAAACTGCAGTCTTGAAGCAAAGTCCTTTCCCTGTGTTTAAGGAAGGGGAAAGGGTGAGCCAAAAGCAAGACATGAGATATCATGAGATCTTCAGGTCCAAGCAAATTGAAACGGTTTCGTTCTGCAGCAAGTTCCACATCTGAACGCCGAGCCATTTGCAGCGCTTTGCTGTTTCCTTTTCAGCCATGCAGATGCAGATGATCCCGATGCAGCCGATTCAGCCACGGGTGCAGCAGGCCGTGCTCAAGCAGCCAGTGCTGTCGCATATGTCGCATGTGCGGCCAGCGCAGCCGTGGCTTGGGCAGCAGCAGCTGCAGCTGCCAGCTCAGGTGAGGCCAGCTGCCGGGCCGGCGCCAGCCGCGATGCCAACGCCCATGGTGCACATGGCGAAGCTGGCCAGGCCATTGCGTTGGGTGTATGCTGCCCCTATGCATCCTATGCAACGCACCCAAGGACGCAGCAATCAGGTGGTGCTTCCATTCCAGGTTGTTTCGACCAAGGTGGCTCCAGAGAAGGAGCTTCCCAAAGAGGCCGGGTGTGGAGGGGATGCCCCATCGACTTTAAGGTTTTTTGGGAATTTAGCCTCTTCCGACTCTTCCGGTTTTGTCAAGAATCAAAATGATCAAAATGTTAATTCGTTCCAGTTGGTTTTGCCGCGCCCAAAGCCACAGGTGGTGTCCACGCAGGTGAAAGCACCAGAGCGCAAAGAGCTCCCGCTGATTGATGGCCAAGTTCCCAAAGAGGCCGGTGTCGAGGGCATGCACCCAATCGATTTCAAAGCGTTTTGGGAGCAGAGCCTTTTCAAGTTTTTGTCAACTTGTTCAGTTCTTCCAGTCGGTGTTATGGGTTTCAAGAGACTCTCTCATGTTGATTTGCTCATCCGAAGCTATGGTCTTTTCGTTTTTTGTTGCCACAAAACTGTGAGTTCTTTGGATTTCTTTGGTATGTCATGGTATGTCCAAGCTTAGGAATCAGCAAAATATGGTTGTGGTCGACCTGCGCGGTGAAGACCGCGAAAGCGGCCACATCGCAGGGACAGTTCATGTCCCAGCCATGAGGAGATCCAGAAATTTGTGGAGATGTTTTCGGACCAGCCCATCGTGGCCTTCCTGTGCCAATACTCGGCACATAGGGCTCCGACAGCGGCTGGATGGATTGTAACAACATGCTTGCTGTGCGTTTTTGTTTTCTGTTTTCAAGAGTTGTACCAAAAGCCCCTTCAAGAGCGACAGTTTCAGCAAGGGAAAACCAAAGCAACGAGGTCGCCAACTTCTACCGAAAGAGCTGCCCAACCAAGCAGCGCGTGATGATCCTGGAGGGCGGCTTCAGGGGATGGGAGGCCCATGACCTCCCTATCCAGCAGATTGAGACGAAACTGTCCCAGAAAGCGGCTGACCAGCTTGCACTGAAGATCGGGAAGGAAGTTTCCAAGTTGACCGGCTGAATGTGTGGCTATGAGCGGCAGGCACAGGTCGAATTTGAATACCTGCCAAATTTAGATTGTCAGTTTCACCCCTTGGTCGAGGCCAACATTGCTTCGCCGGCACAATGCTGAAGTGCACCAAACAGTGGTAAAACCGAGCGGTCACAGCTAGGGCTTTGCGGCATTGTGGCTGAGGGCCATTTGGATTGCCAGCTGAGGTGGACATCTCTTTGCCTGTGGAGGTCGCGATGGCGATATCTACCTCAGCCGAGTGCTTTCAGCTACCTGAGGCTCTGCAGGGCTGGCTGGCTGGTTTGAAGATGTTTCAAATCTGCTGCATACTGATACATATCCTAGTATTAAAAAATGAAAATAACATTATATATATAATATAATATATATATAATATAATATATATATATTTATTTATTTATTTATAATTAGTATTCTATTGATTTCTATAGTATATTTACATACTATAGTATATATATAATTCACTTATTTACGTGTGTGTGCATATATTTGTCTATAAATATATAAATGTATACACATGCATGCATGCATGCATGCATGCATGCATGCATACATACATACATACATACATACATACATACATACATACATACATACATACATACATACCTGAGGCTCCAGACGGGTGGCACTTGGAGGTTTCTTTGATAGGACTGCCTGAGTGGTTTGAAGATGTTTCAAGACAGTTTCAAGATTTGTCAAACTTTTTCCATGATATATGTATTTACATTTTACTTCGTAGCAGGGGTCTTGCTATTTTGCAGCCAGCTCAAGAGCAGCTATCGGGTACACCGATGTACCATGATCAACTGCTAGCGCACACTCAAGACATCTCATGACAATGGTGATGGTGTTCTTAATGAGGATCATGACTCATGACTCATGACGATGATGATGATGATGATGATGACGACGACGACGACGATGATGATGATGATGCCGACCGTTTCAAGCTTAGAATGATTTGCTGGTTTGCCATTTTTTTGCCAAGTTGAGTCTGACACCAGGCGGCCTTGGCTTGGTGGCGTTAGGTTTGGGGCCTGAGGAAATGGCTGCCTAAGATGATCTGTGAGTTGAGCTATAGATTAGATAAATTCGAAAAGCACACTTCAGGAAGGAAATTTGTATTTTTCGACAAGGTTCTATTGTTGATTCACGACATGGGTTTACCCCTGGAGTTCATAGCTATAATTTTGTAATGTTTTGAAGCGAAGTCCTTTCCTCATCATCCTATATAATCCTTTCCTTGCCGGGAATGGGAAAGGGTCAGCCAAAAAGCAAGACATGAGACTCATCATGAGACATCCCGAGATCTTCAGGTCGAAGTGCTGCAGGTTTCCACATCTCGCCGAGCCATTCAGCTTCGAGTCTGCATAGTCTGCATCGTGTTAGAGTGTGCTGCGTTCTTTCCATGCAGATGCAGCAGATGCAGCCACGCTTGGTGCTGCAGGCCGTGGTCAGGCAGCCAGTGCTGTCGCATGCGCGGCCAGCGCAGCCCTGGGACAGGTCAGCTTGGTCAGAATCCTGCGAGGCCCATGGCGATGCCAGTGGCGATGCCAGTAGCGATGCCAACGCCCATCGTGAAGGCCGTGGTCAAGCCCGTGGTGAAGCCATCGCAATGGATTTATGCCTTGCTCCAAAGCACCCCAGGACGCAGCACCAGGTGGTCCTCTGTGGAAGGTGTGGTTTTGGCGTGTCTTGTTGCCCCAACGTGCGACTCTAACCAGACGAGGAATGTTTGAATCCTTTGGTGTATGTCAAAGCCCAGGAAGCATCAAAGTTGCGCGGGCAAGATCGGGCAAGCGGGGCTATTCGGCCATTCCAGGAACGGCAAATATCCCAGCCATGGATCTCCTCAAGGAGATCGGGAAATATGTGGAGGAGTGTGGGGACCAGCCGATCGTGGCATTTTTTTGCCAGTATTCGAGTATTGGCACAAGAATGCCACGATCGGCTGGTCCCCAAAATCCTTCACGTACTTCCCGATCTCCTTGAGGAGATCCATGGCCGGGACATGAACTGTCCCCAAACTTCTCCACGTCTATTCAGCTCATCGAGCTTCCACTGTGGCTGGATGCATTTGTAGCAATACACTTGCTGTGCATGTGTATTTTCTATTGTTTTCTGATTTCAAGAGTTGTACCACAACTCCCTTCAAGAGCAACAGTTTCAGCAGGGGAAAACCAAAGCAACAAGGTCGCAAACTTCTACCGAAAGAGCTGCCAGTTCAAACAGCGCGTGATGATCCTGGAGGGCGGCTTCAGGGGATGGGAGGCCCATGACCTCCCTATCCAGCAGATTGAGACGAAACTGTCCCAGAAAGTGTGTGACCAGCTGGCCCTGATTGGGAAGGATGTTTCCAAGTTGACCGGCTGGAACGCGTGTGACCAGCTGGCCGTGAAGATTGGCCAGAGTGTCTCAAAGTTGACCGGCTGAATGCCATGTGATGAGCAGCAGGCACAGTTCGAATGCCTGCCGCCATCAGCATTCAGCCGTCAGTATCCAGTATCATCCCATTGGTCGAGGCCAACATTGCTTCGCCCACAACTAGACGACGGATGGCCCGATCTATGTAGATGTGTAGATGTGAAGATGTGAAGACGTATAACAGGCCCCCACTATTAGAAGAACCCTTCGCTCAGACGCTCTCGGGAAAAAGCAGAGTGGTCAGTCACGGGTCAAGGTTGGTCTTGAATCCCCTTGTGGCGTTGTGGCTGAAGGGCCATCAGAAGCAGCGCCCAATTTTGAGACGCAACTTCCCAGCTGAGGTGGGCATCTTTTTGCAATATCACTCCTCAGCCGAGTGCTTTTAGCTGTACCTGATGCTCCAGACGGGGCTGCGGCACTCGGAGGTTTGCCGTGGTCGGGCTGGCCGGGTGGTTGGAAGATGTTTCAAATTTGTTGCATATATTTGACATATCAATCATATCCATATCAATCATTTGAAAATTTGATTACACTTACTGTAATCTTTACTTAGTAGCAGAGGCAATTGCTGCCTGTTGCAACTGTTGCGCCCAGCCCAAGAGCAGCCAGGGTATAGCGATGTGCCATGACCAAATGCATACTCCTGACATCTCATGACATCTCATGACGATGGTGGTGATGATGATGGCGACGATGACGATCCTTTCAGGTTTAAGACGGGTTTGCCATTTTTTTGCCAAGTGGAGTCTGATTCCAGGTATGAACTGCTATGCCATCTATGCGTATGTACCCACCACGATGATGATGATGATGATGATGATGATGGTGGTGGTGATGATGATGATGATGACGACGACGATGATGATGATGACGACGATTGTGATTGCGATTGCGATGACTTGCTATGATTTGCTGTTTTTTGCCACGTAAAGTCTGATGCCAGGCGGCCTTGGCTTGGAGGCCTTACGTTTGGGACCTGAGGAAATATCTGCCTAAGACATCATGTGTGAGTTATCTAGAGAAGTGGAAAAACACTCTGGACAGGCATTCTGCAGGAAGGAAATGAGCATGGATTTTCCCTATGAGTTTATAAGTTCAAAACTGCAGTCTTGAAGCAAAGTCCTTTCCCTGTGTTTAAGGGGAAAGGGTGAGCCAAAAGCAAGACATGAGATATCATGAGATCTTCAGGTCCAAGCAAATTGAAACGGTTTCGTTCTGCAGCAAGTTCCACATCTCAACGCCGAGCCATTTGCAGCGCTTTGCCGTTTCCTTTTCAGCCATGCAGATGCAGATGATCCCGATGCAGCCGATTCAGCCACGGGTGCAGCAGGCCGTGCTCAAGCAGCCAGTGCTGTCGCATATGTCGCATGTGCGGCCAGCGCAGCCGTGGCTTGGGCAGCTGCAGCTGCAGCAGCTGCCAGCTCAGGTGAGGCCGGCTGCGGGGCCGGCGCCAGCCGCGATGCCAACGCCCATGGTGCACATGGCGAAGCTGGCCAGGCCATTGCGTTGGGTGTATGCTGCCCCTATGCATCCTATGCAACGCACCCAAGGACGCAGCAATCAGGTGGTGCTTCCATTCCAACAGGTTGTTTCGACCAAGGTGGCTCCAGAGCGGAAGGAGCTTCCCAAAGAGGCCGGGTGTGGAGGGGATGCCCCATTGACTAATTTTTTTTGGGAATTTAGCCTCTTCCGGTTTTGTCAAGAGTCAAAATGATCAAAATGTTAATTCGTTCCAGTTGGTTTTGCCGCGCCCAAAGCCACAGGTGGTGTCCACGCAGGTGAAAGCACCAGAGCGCAAAGAGCTCCCGCTGATTGATGGCCAAGTTCCCAAAGACGCCGGTGTTGAGGGCATGCACCCAATCGATTTCAAAGCGTTTTGGGAGCAGAGCCTTTTCAAGTTTTTGTCAACTTGTTCAGTTCTTCCAGTCGGTGTTATGGGTTTCAAGAGACTCTCTCATGTTGATTCGCTCATCCGAAGCTATGGTCTTTTCGTGTTTTGTTGCCACGAAACTGTGCGTTCTTTGGATTTCTTTGGTATGTCATGGTATGTCCAAGCTTAGGAATCAGCAAAATATGGTTGTGGTCGACCTGCGCGGTGAAGACCGCGCAAGTGGCCACATCGCAGGGACAGTTCATGTCCCAGCCATGGATCTCCTCAAGGAGATCCAGAAATTTGTGGAGATGTTTTCGGACCAGCCCATCGTGGCCTTCCTGTGCCAATACTCGGCACATAGGGCTCCGACAGCGGCTGGATGGATTGTAACAACATGCTTGCTGTGCGTTTTTGTTTTCTAATTTCAAGAGTTGTACCAAAACCCCTTCAAGAGCAACAGTTTCAGCAGGGGAAAACCAACGCAACAAGGTCGCCAACTTCTACCGAAAGAGCTGCCCGTCCAAGCAGCGCGTGATAATCCTAGAGGGCGGCTTCAGG